GGGGGGGGGGGCTGCTTTGCTCTGTATGGAAGGAGACGATGGGTTTATTTAAATAAGTACAACGCATGAATTACATGCACTATACCTGATTGTCTTTTCATATTTATTGATGAGCTATACTAACTAGCGCAAAACACAACACGAAATTGATGCTCGCTAATCAAAGATAATATACTAAAATATCGTCGCCACATAGATTGAATTTAAACAATATTCGAGTAATTTCTTGGTTAATTGCTATTCAGGAGGATCAACACTTAAGTTAAATGATTATGAACTACGTTTAAATACTAAAATAAAGTAATTGACAACAAAAAATTGGAGATTCACGTAGTTGGTTTGTTATCAATGTAGGAAATGAGGATTTAACAGGATAGGTGCAAGATAGTTATTTGGGATCTTACTTTAGTTTAATTCACTCTAATGTTTTAATGATTCTCCCGAATTCACTCGATGATTAGTTCAAACGTATAGTCAAGGCTCCTTTCTCGATTAAATCTTAATTCTACGAGGTGAACTAATATAAGCATTGTGAAAGTATGCAAGCATGCATTATTGGATTAGTCTTTAGGAAAACGTTTCTCGAATATTCTCCTATCTTGATTTAGTCAACAATTTAACAAGCTCTTTCGATTACTTAAGAGAATCAATGAATTAAATCAAACAAAATAATGCAAAGATAATCACCAAAATATTTCTCTTTCATTTAGAAACTCGATGAATAAAGTTTCAATAATTCAAAGCTCAACTAGAGTTAAAATCCACAAATATTTATCAAAACACCATATCCGTCAAGCCCTAAGGGAAATTACTTCATAATCATGGAGGAAGTCATTACAAATATAATTAAAGAATGAGAAAACATCAATCTAACGTTGCAATCCAAACTCCCATATTGAATTGATGGAAAGATGATGAAATCCCGTATCTTGCAGCATCCAATGCTCTCCCAAAGCTTCCAAGGTAAAAAATCCTCTAAAAATCATATTTTTAATGTATTTATACCATGTAGGAACGAGACTGGATGAAACTACTCTTTCCAAGTCGAAAGTGAGACACTTAGACCGCAAAAATACACTGGTGCGCGCCTCATGCGCCGCATTAGTGAGGATCTTCAGAGAGTTAATTTTTCTCACTTTGCAGGAATTTTACACTAGCGCTCTGAGCCCCGCGGCGCGGTAGTGCAATTTCTTCAGAGTAGTTTTGTTTTCTTACTTTTTAACATCCAAACTTGGTCTCGACCCCCGAACGTGATTCCGACTTAATTTCTTGAGCTTTTACTTAGACTTCAAAGCTCCAACTTGTTCAAATTAGCTCCAAATTATCTTAATAGCTCGGAATCACTTCCCGCAAGGCATATGACACATAATAAGTGCAATACACTAATATTTAAGCTCAAGCACAAGTAAAATGCAGTAACTGGAGTGCAAATTATGACTAAGACACGGGTTTCTAGCCTACCATCATATACTAAGACTTTAACCGCCTTTTCAAACTTGGGCATAGCGTATGAATTACATGTGATATATCTTAACAGACAAACGTGCCGTTAAGGTATAGCGCATGTAATTCTTGCGCTATATATAAAAATGTTCTTAGTTCTTTTTTCCGCCTATTTTGGTGTTTTGAGTTCGAAAGTCCATCATTTTGGTTCCGGACTCGCAAAAAAAGTAGCTCTCTATTCCACTTTATGTGACGTTGTTCAAAGTATGAGAGTCATGATTAATTTTCAGTGTGAATCTGAACATAGAATTTTCAATTTTTTGGAATAAAATTCATATATCTCTATAAACTACATAAAATAATTTTTGGAACAAAATTCATATATATATATATATATATATATATATATACACACAAACTATTTACAAATATTTGCAACAAAATGTGGTGAAGTGAATTTTGCTTAACTCTCCAAATACTGGAATTCAACAACCTACTCATAGTGAGTGAATTGAATTTAGTGCATTAATCAATTAAATACTACAAGGCATAAATTTATATGTAAGGTTTTAGTACTTAATCATAATAAATTTTATTATGTAATTTCACTTTATTTTATGACTTTTATCATAATTAAACAGCTTAGGACAGTGCAAACATCGAATGGCAATAAGTATGTTGTTTGAATATTATCACCTTTCCAAATTTGCATGTGAGCTCCAATAAGCAATATAAATTGGAATAACCCGAGATGTCAAATTAAAAGTATTATTGTTTCTTCCCACCAAAAAAAAAAAGAAAAAAGGGAGGGGTTCCAAATTTTGATTTGAATTCACATATCAATTTTCAAATATTTTAGATAAAATTTCTATAAATTTTTTTTCAAAAATACAAAAACATACCTTGTTATAATTAAATATTTCCATATATTTTAAAATATCCTAGTTAAAAAGAATATTACTTAAGTTTTCAAATAATAGTAGAATAATTCTTTTAGTCAATTCGATAAATTAAAAGAAGTGGGGAAGGGTGTTGCTGCCTTTATTTGACGAATACGATATTGGGGTTGGTGAAATATGCACATCTTTCACTATTTCTTTAAGGTTTAAGTTCTATGCATTAATGACTTATAAAATATTTAAATAATTACATGACTTAAAAATTATAGATAAATCTTTTTACAGATAAGATTAATTGATAATTTAATAAAAATAATATTTAATCTGCAATCATATATTAAATTTTATTAATATTGTAATAAGTCTTATACTGTCAGTATAAAATAAGTCTTTATTTTATTCTTTTAATCGTTTGTTTCTCTTATTCATAAGGGGAGTATATTCTTCAACCTTAGCTTATGTTTGACAAAAAAAAAAAAAAAAAAAAAAAAAACCTTAGCTTATGCTCTCGTGCAATCAAAGAAAGACAATTATTAGAATATCATCCCACCAAAGTGAGAAAGTACTGGTGAGTTTTTTTTGGGTTTCACCGTATCTGCATTAAAACCCGACTATATTCAGATTTGTGCCGCGTAGAATAGTACTAGTGAGTTATTTGTCCTTTAGTGAGTTAATAATAGTGGTTATAAAGAGCAATGACCACTTATATTATGGGATCAATGGTTAATAAGAGTTGTTATTTTCTTCATTTACTAGTCATAACAAATATTATAATTTAATATTTTTATATTAAAATATAATATTTTTCAATAAAATGGCTAAACTAAAAATAAAAGAAAAAAAATCATAAGTTCCATGTATTTAAGTTATGTACATAAAATATAAAAATCAGTCACGCTATCAGTAAATTTTAACATTCGGTAGCAGCTCAATTATATTTTATTAAATAATTACCTCATAACTAATTCGATTATATAAATATTTTTAACACAATTTTGTTCAAAAGCGTGGACCCCAACACCCAAAGTGCCAATAGGAAATTAGTAAACTATTTTCATTCAACAAAGGAGGTTAGCATTTCAGCTCACTTATAGCAGACATGTATTTATTGTACCAGTATATAAATAGTAGAAACAACAGATACAATATCATAAATTTCAGAAATCCCCACATAAATTCCCCCTTTGTGTGTGATCCAATCCTAAATACTTTCTTTCAATCATTTTTTCTTTGGCATGGCGGAGGAATCCCAAAAATGGGTATTAATGGTAACGGCGCAGACACCTACTAACATAGCGGTGATAAAGTATTGGGGAAAAAGGGATGAAAATCTAATTCTTGCTATTAATGATAGTATTAGTGTAACCCTTGATCCTGCTCACCTTTGTACCACTACCACTGTTGCTGTTAGCCCTGCTTTTAATCAAGATCGCATGTGGCTTAATGGCAAGGTAAATATAATTTCTCTCTTTTTAATTTTAATGTGTGAATTTTGGTCATTATTAATTCTAGTGAGCTAATGTGGATTGATTTTTGTGATTTGGAAAGGATTTAAGTTATATATGGTGATAGTGTAATGAATTGTGTGAAGGTGAGAGTTGGGGTAAAGTTGCTGTCATGTGACCAGGATCACGGGTTCGAGCCCCGAAAACAGTCTCTTGCAGAAGCCCTTTTTTTTGTAATGAATTGTGTATACCATCAGTGAAATTTAACATGTCATAGCAGGTCAGTTACCATATATTCGGGGTTGAAGGTTAGCTTACTTGGCGAGCTCTCCGCCTTTCATAATTGAGGTGGATCATAGTAGCGTAACATCCCCTGATGTAGTAAATTTTTTTAAAATAAAACAATAAAAAAGTTGCCATTATTCTAGGTTACTAGTCAACGTTATTGAATAGAGATATATGAAATTGTCTTTTAAGTGACTTAGTTGTGTAAATATTTTTTGCACTGTCAATACACAGAATTTAAACTCTATTGGAAAATCTTACTCCCTCCATTTTATTTTATTTAGCAGTTTTTGACTAGACATGGAATTTAAAAAAGAAAGAATTTTTAGCACATACCAAAAGTACTCTTAGAACTGGTTGTCTTAAGGATGGCACGACATTTCCATAGTTGTAAGATTATTCCTTTAAAGGTCAATTGAAATGTTTAATGGTAAAAAGTTCCGAAATATAGAAAGGTGAGATTTTTTTTAACAGACTAAAAAGGAAAGATTGTCATGTAATATGGAACATAGGAGTAGTTCTTAATATTGGTCAGGATTCGGGTTTTAGCTGCTACTTGCTAGATTTTAGGCTGTTATGCTGTAATAGTGCAACATTTTGAGTGCCTATTAGCTGTGTGTGACTACATGTAGTAGAATCAAGGAGGTTTAAATCAGGAGTAGGGAGCTTGGCTCTCCATTTCATACTAAGTCTTCACTCTTGCTGGAACTTATTGCTAACTATCTTTTTTTTCCCTTTGGTGTTGAGAGTGAATGCATGATCGATCTTTTACCTATGAACAGATTTAGTAATCCAAGATGCCTTTTTAGTTCCATCGTTGGTCGAATCTTTGATCATCTTGTCCATTTTTCGCTACAACATAGTAAACATAGCAGTGAGGAAAAAATTAAGATTCTTGAAAGTGCTATTCATACTATCTTAGTTTTAGAAACCTGAGCTCATGGGGATTCCTCCTTCATCCATTTTATTTCTAGGAATATTTTGATCCTTTATAATTTTGCTTTTGCTTGTTGTTTTAGGAAATATCCCTCTCTGGTGGCAGATACCAAAACTGTCTTAGGGAAATTCGCGCTCGTGCTAATGATGTTGAAGATGAGAAGAGGGGTATCAAGATCGTGAAAAAGGATTGGGAGAACCTGCATGTGCATATTGCTTCTTATAATAATTTTCCTACTGCTGCGGGTTTGGCCTCCTCAGCTGCTGGCTTTGCCTGCCTAGGTACTGCTAAACATTTCTTTGTTACTTCAATTCTAAATTCATTTTGTCGCTTCACTATTTCGTTTGTTTGGTCTTCTACTGGCTGTTAAGTTTAAACACCAAGGATCATGATGAATTTTGAAAAGGAATGATTACTTTATTATTTTAGAATTTAGTCCTTTATGAAAACAGTGGCTGCACACAATATCTGACGTGGATTTTCTTAAGGCTTGCCTGTATCTCAATCTGTGATTTGACTTCAAAGCAAAAAAAAAAAGTAATTCATTCTTTCTAGTTCAGAAAGTTAAGTACCTTTTCTAGATCATTTGTTCAAGTTCTGCATTTCTCTTTTCTGGATGTTCATCTCTTGGAGTGACCTTTGGATCTATCTGTAGTGTACCATGTGGCTTGAGGAGCAAAATAGTTTTAAGTGACATAATTATTTAGCTAATTGAAAATTGCAAGCTTTTATTTGATCATATGCTGTCCATTACGCAATGCCTTATGTTTCTCTAAGTTTCTCCCCATACATATAGTACAGTTTAATCAAGTAATGTTGGCTCCCCTGATGCTAATTCAAATCGATTGGAGCTTCGTTTTACCATTTCCTTTTTCCTGCAACTGGTTTTTCTGGAACTTATTATTTTAGCTCTGATATCTTGTAAGTGGTCATCAAAAGAATGTACTTGTTAGTGGAACTATAGAGGTACCTGCTAATTTCTACTGATAGAATACCTTTCCCTTAGTTATAAATTCTTTAGCATATCCTATGTCTATATTCCATTTATCTTTTGTTTGCATATTTTCATTTTAAATTCATTCCTTATTTAAATATGTAATGAAATTACGACGACAGTGAGTAAACAATTGATCTAAGTGAGGCCATATTATGATTTTTGTGTTGATAAGTATATNAAGGTTCAGGAAGTGCTTGTCGAAGCTTATATGGAGGATTTGTTAAGTGGGTTATGGGAAAAGTACGTCTGGTTTATGAGTCCTTGTCTTGTGCTTCTCTCAACAAATATCTTATCTTCTCACTGTTGTTGTAATGCTTTTCCCTGGATATGTGCAGGAGGAAAATGGAAGTGATAGCGTTGCTGTTCAACTTGTAGATGAGAAACACTGGGATGAGCTTGTCATCATCATAGCCGTGGTATGTACTTCTCCATCCACATTATCATTGTTTGTCTAAAAGTTAAGCTATTTATATTGTTGCTAGACTTTTAGGGGAAAGAAAACATCTCTCTCAATTAAACTATAAGGTCTTGTATACTTCGGGCCATTTACTTTTACCTGCTCCTTAATTTATTTTCTTCTTATTTCTAGTAGTCATCTTATAGTTTCCCCACTTTCCAGTTTCAACTTATACTTTTTATTTCATTTCCTCACAATTTTATGCCGTCCCCCTCTTAGCTCATCTGCACATTCTTCACTATGGATTTATGAAATTCACTGAAATAAATCATATAAATTTGACCATTGGGACAGTTTTGTGTTTATTTTTCTTCCAAAGCATGTCAAAAAATTTGATTCTTTTTGAATGTTTTGGCTGTATTTTCAGGTGAGCTCACGGCAGAAGGAAACAAGTAGCACCTCAGGAATGCTTGAGACTGTTGAAACCAGTGCGCTGATAGAACACAGGGCAAAGGTATTTCTCTTGTCCTCTTGTTTACATTTGGATTCTGCATCTTCAATTAGTGTCCTCAAAATCTTCCAGACATTTTCACTTGGTTCTTTAAGTTAACCTCTATTCAATTGGTGAGAGTTGTATTAGAAGTATTGACTTTCCATTCTTGTATTGGGATTTTCAGGAAATAGTGCCAAAGCGAATAATTCAGATGGAAGAAGCCATACAAAAACGTGATTTTGCAACTTTCACTCACTTGACTTGTGCAGACAGCAATCAATTTCATGCAGTCTGCCTGGATACTAGCCCTCCTATATTCTACATGAATGATACATCTCATAGGCAAGTTCTTAACTTCAAGCTACTAAAATGAGGTCTTTGCCGAACTTCTTTTCTTAAAAAAAAAATTGAACTTGATACTTTTTTTGGGTAATGTTGAGAATCGGAGAAAGTAAGTCTTAATGGCGTGTTCAACTTTCAGGATAATCAGCTGTGTTGAGAAATGGAACCGTTCAGAAGGAACTCCACAGGTTTTTCTACTTTACCGTAATCTTTTTGTAGTGCATAGTTGCATGATTTTTAGATGAATAATTCTATATTAACAGTGTAAACGAACACAACTGCAAGAGTTGCTACCTTTTATTTATTATTCCTGAGAAATTTGTCATAGAATTCAATACTTGAGCTAGAATTGTGAATGTTAGATGCTTGAGACGGAATAGTGATTATCCTTCTGAACTGGAATTTTTGTTTCATTCTCTAAAATGTATTGCATCCTCTCCTCAATTCCATCGACATTCCTGTTTGACAACTCCACAAACTGAGTTATGTTCCAACTGAATTCTCCCTGGTCTTGAGCTGGTTTGAGATTACTGCTTTTCAGTTACTTCATAATATCGATTATCACTGAGATCTTGACATTATATCAAGCGATACAAGAACATCTATCTATTTCAAGCCTTTTTCAGTTTTGATTGACAATTGAGTGTTTGGCTAAGTTGCATTATTGGGGTCTAATTTTCAGTTAGTTTGACTTTTAAAGTACGTTTACAGTAACATAAATCAATGTATATGGTCTTGTTGGTTGTTACCAAGTATAAAAATGTTGCCAGGTTGCATATACTTTTGATGCGGGGCCAAATGCAGTTCTAATTGCACGTAACAGAACATCTGCTGCACTTCTACTCCAGAGGCTGCTCTTCCACTTCCCTCCAAACTCAGAAACTGATCTAAACAGGTACATCCGTTAGGGAAATTTCCATCGTTTTTATGTGATCATGGGATTAATTATTCTTGGGCAATCGATAGGCAATCATATTCACTGCTTCTCCCTTCTTCTTCTTTCTTCTCTCTCCAGCTACGTCATAGGTGATAAATCAATACTGAAGGATGCTGGAATTCAGGAGATAAAGGATGTGGAAGCATTGCCTCCACCTCCAGAAATTAAGGACAAGGTTCCAGTTCAGAAATGTAAGGGCGAAATTAGCTACTTCATATGCACAAGACCTGGTAGAGGTCCAGTTTTGATAAGCGACGAAAGTCAAGCTCTTCTCAACCCTTATACCGGATTGCCCAAGTGAAGTGCCGTACTTTTGATTATAAGATTCTGTTGAATGATCAGGCCTAAACAGAGTCCCGAGTTCTACGTATTACAGCCTCTTACCCTAAAGAGAAAAAATGGAGGCTGCTATTTTTAAAATGGTTTCAGTATAGATGAACTTTGAATTCAAAAGCTGTTGTTTGTAGTTCAGTTTACTTATTCTTCAGTAGAAATTGTTGTGTACTCGTTTCTTTGTTGAATGCAATAAGAGTCCTCAATTTTGCTTCTTTCCGTCATTTCCTGGAATCAAATAAAAAATATTTTTCATAATGAACTGACTCATAATCTCATTGTTGTACAACATATATTTTTTTTGTTGAGAAAAAGGATAATTTCATTAATAAAGGTTATGGAGGCATTATATCACTATTAGTAATATTAGGGATAATACTTAGGTTTCCAAACACTGCTAGTGTATTATATATGGAGCTAGATACTAGTCTAGTAGTAGATGCTTTATTTTTGTCTTCTTGGATCATCCTTTTTACTGGACCTGGAGGTGAGTGCAAAATAGTTGTAGTAGAGCTTAGATGTTGTTTGGAACCCAATTTACACAAAAAGTGCGCCACTTTGTTGCCTTTACGGAAGCTATGCTGAAGCACTGGATTCCCCAATCTCTTCAACAAGTACCTGCATTCCAAGATAGTGTTAGTATAAGCCGGAAAGATATTATGTTCGAGTAGTTGGATTGTGTCCGTCGAGTCAGTGTCAATCTCTAGTGGTGCTAGTCCTTTGTCGTGTGCCAATTTTAGACCTGCATGAAGTGCTTGTAACTCTTCATGAGCAGAGTTATAGGCTTTGATTTTTTTTAGTAAATCCTACAATAATGTCCCCTTGACTATTTCTTATTATGCCCCCAATGCCTCCTGTGTTATGATTACCCAAGGAAGCATCTATGTTTAATTTGTAGCTGTAAGGTGGTGGTGGATACCATTTAATGTGTACATGAATTTTGTGCGTGGTGCATTTGTAATTGGAGGCTGGTAGTTTAAACTCAATGGCTCGTGTGTTAACCATTTGGTAATTTAAGTTCTTTGAGTAGTTGTGGAAGCAGTTATTGTTTCTATTTAGCCAGAGGTGCCATATTGCAAAAGGAAATACATCTTCCCAAGTTATGAAGTTGTGAGTAACCGGTATTTGTAGGTCTTTAATAGCTAGTAGCCAATGTTTGTTGTGAGGGATGGTGTTGATGTCAATGCCTGTATTGTCCCAGAATGAGCGTGCTAAAGTGCATTCAAGGAAGATATGAGTTATGGTTTCTTCTGCCATCCTACAAACCGTGCAAGTATTGTCAATTGAGACTCCATTTGATAAAGGTAGGAGTTAGTAGATAATCTATTTTTAAAGCATTGCCAAAGGAAAAATTTAATTTTGTTTAGGATATGTAGTTTCCAAATCTAATCATAGTCAGTGGTCTTTTGGATGTGTTGGTGAAGTAATTTGTAGATTGAATGGGTTGTGAGGACGCCATTTGTGTTGAGCATCCAAATGGATGTGTCTATGACTAGGAGGTTTGTTGAGATGGAGATATGGGAGATGTCATTTAAAATGTTGCTGGGTAGTTCAAACGATATTTTGGACCAGTTCCACTAGTCATTTGCCCAAACCTGATCAAGGGCCAAGTTGCTATCATTCTTGTTAAGAGGACCTTGAATGATTGAGCGGATGTTTGTTTTGTTCAGGGTCCAGTATCCATAGTAGAAGTTTATGGATTTACCATTGTCAACATCCCAAGCCAATCCTTTGGTAATGGTTTCCCATCCTTTTCAGGATATTTTACCAAATGAAAGAGGTGGTCTTAGCATTAGGCTTATTGCTGTTTTTTTGAATTAGAGTACTTGCCCACATGGTTGATGGATTGGTGAATAATCTCCATGCAAGTCCAGCTAGAATGACCTGGTTTTTCTGCCATGCTTTAGGTATCCCCAGGCCCCCTAATTCTTTTGGAAGGGTTACAACATCCCAGGAGATGTATATCTTTTTTTTAATTGTGGTTGTCCCCCAAATAAAATCCTGCTGGATTTTGTCAATTTGATGAAGGGTCTTTTTTTGGGAGGAAATGTACTGCATATTATGATTAGGAATGGTATTGAGGGCAGCCTTTGCTAGGGTTTCTCGTCCCGCAAGAGTTAGGAACTTTGTTTTTCAGTTAGAAAGTTTGTTTCTCATATTGTCAATTACAAATTGGAAGTCGGAAGGTTTGAGCTTATTATTGGTTATGGAAAAACCTAAATACTTGCCAAGTTGGCTAGTTGGGTTAATGTTAAATAGGTCTATTGCATAGTCTTTCAGGACATTTGAGCAGTTACCAGAGAAGAGAATTTTGGACTTGGTGTTGTTAATTTTGTGACCTGATAGGGAGCAATAGGTTGCTAAGGAGTGATGAATGGTATTTATGGATTTTTAATTAGCTTGGGCCATGAATGTCAAGTCATCTGCGTAAAAAATATGTGATACATGAGGTCCTTTTGGCCCAATTCTAATGGGATTCCACAGAGTAAGGTCCACTTGGTGATGTATGTATATAGAAAGCAATTCCATGGTTAGGATAAACAAGTAAGGGGATAGGGGTCCCCTTGTCTGATCCCTCTCGAGGGTTCAAAGAACTTGGTTTGAGCACCATTTACTAAGACTGCTATTGCTTGTGGATATGCAGTTCATGATCAGAGAAGTGATTTTTGGTGGGAACTTGAAGAAGGTTAAGGCCTTGTAGACAAACGGCCATTCTAGCCTATCAAAGGCTTTTTCGAGGTCAATTTTGATTATCAGTTGGCCATTCATCCCTTTTCTTTTTTTAAACTGGCTTATAACGTCTTGTATAATAATGGCATTGTCACTTGCCCGCCTGCCTTTTAAGAAGCTAGCCTGGCATGGGCTGATTAATTCAGGAAGAAAAGGTTTGATCCGGTTAATAATTATTTTGGTGATTATTTTGTATGTGGTGTTGCAGAGTCCAATTGGTCGGAAATTATTGAGGTTATTAGCATGCTTGAATTTGGGAATGAGGCATAATAATGTTTGATTCATTTCATTAGGGATTCTAGATAAGGAGAAAATTTCTTTGCATAGACGTATGACAGAGGGGCCCACAATATTCCAGTGACATTGGTAGAAAATTGGGTGCATACCATTAGGACCGGGGGCTTTGTATGGCTTGAAGGAATATACTGCATAAGTAATTTCTTGGGTGGCTAAGGGCCTATCTAATGAGGGAGAGATCTATGTTGCTAAAATTTGTGTGGGCACTTTTAGTAGTATTCCACTCTAAGCGTGTATTATTGGTTGTGAATATATCTTGGAAATAGTGGTGTGTGTGTTCAATGATTTTTTGTCGATCCGTAATCCAATTACCATCGTTATCTTTAAAGAAGAAAATACTGTTTCGCCTACGCCTATTAAGGACAGATATGTGGAAAAATTTAGTATTTGCATCGTCCTCATTAAGCCAATTCAGGCGTGATCTAATCTTCCAATGATCCTCCTCCAGGCGTAGAATGTTATTACTAATTATTGATTAGGGTATGTTCTAAATTTCTAAGGAAAGTGCTATAGGTATAGTTTGGTGAATTTTGGATTCCCTTAATTCTAGCCCGTATCCCTTTCTTATTGGCAAAAATATTGCCGAAATTTTGAGCACTCCATTCACTAACATTGGTCTTGAAAAAAATTTGGGCATCATTGAAATTTCTATTATCCCAACTTTTCTCAACGACTTTACTAAACTCAGGGTGGCTTAGCCAATATTTTTCGAGTCTAAAGGGTTTGGTAGAATTAGTCCTAGTATTAGTAAGTCTGAGTAGTAGGGGGTTATGGTGGGAGTAGGTCTTTGGGAGGTGAGTAACCAATACTGAGGGGTACTGTTCTAGCCATGCTTCATTAGCAAGGCATCGATCAAGTTCTTCTAATATGAGTCCATGCCTCCTATTTCTATGATTTGACCACGTGTAACGACAACCTTTGAATCCTAGATCTATTAAGTTACAATAGTTAATACAAGACCAAAATCTGGAAGACCTATTTCTATTAATATTCCTGCCTCCCCATTTCTCATCTTGATTTAGGACATCGTTAAAGTCCCCACCTATAAGCCATGTGCCTTTGTAATTGTCAAAAGTAGTCTTGAGGCTATTCCATAGACGTATCCTATTAGTTAACGAATTACCAACATAAATTGAACTAAAGAGCCAAGGGTTGTGATTTGGTAATACCTGGACTAGGGCATGAAGTTCCTGATCAGTCTACCTAACACGATCCACTGCTACCATTGTATCAACCCACATAATGACCATGCCACTAGCTCTGCCAACCGCTGGGATCTCTATTAAATCAGAGAAATTGAAATCTACCCTAAGGATTGCATGGTTTTCCATTTTGGTTTCCAGTAGGGCCACCATGCATGGATTGTGATTATTAATAAGTTCCCTAAAATTACGCCTGAAGTCTACATTATTGGCGCCTCTAACGTTCTAAATGATTATGCTAGTAGGTGTATTCATGATAGGGGAGTGATTGTGGAGCATATTTGCACTGTGGTTAATTCCCTTAATGGATGGGCTGTCCCTCAGAGTGGGATTCACTAGGACTACATACTTTGCTGTTGCAGTGTTGATCGGTGGAGTTATCTCTATTGAGCACCTTTGAAGTGCTACTGGGCAACGTAGTATGTATTTCTTGTCCTCCCTCTCCGGGAATAGCATAAGAACTATATCTCTTATTGTTGAGATTTCCGTGAAGGAGCTTCTTCCCGGAGGTTGGGGGATCACCACCTCTTCTGCCTCTTGCACTTCCTGATCCAGATTTGCTCCTTGTTCCATCGGAGGGGCCACATGGGGATGGTGTTGGGCTTGTTGAGGTGTCCAAGGGAAGAATAGAGGATTCATCTCTGTTACCTCCTGTGATGGAAAAAATGGTAGTTCGAACATTTGGTTCATGTTCAGTAGGGGATTGAAATATTGTGGAAAGTTCCAGTGGTTGTGCATGGTGTGGTAAAGAGCAGGAGCTATTGCTTGGGCTAGGGGATCGAGAATGTTTGCCATCCACATATGGTTCATATAATTGTCCACATCCATTCTCATCCCCTCTGGCACCACTTGGGCTAGGAAGTTTGGATTTTGAATGATCATCATGACTTCCTGCCCTTCTATCAACATTGAGAAGAATAGAGCTTGGCCTTGGAGTCCCTGTTCGATCCATGAGGTGGGTTGATGGTCCGGATGTTGTGGTTGAGTTGCATAGAATAGGTTTGGAATTTGCATGAGGTTGTTTGGGTTGTTCAAGTTCATCATGGGAGGTTGAAAGGAGTTTCTGGGCACTTTGTGAGTTAGTAGGGCCAGGCGTGATTTTTTGTTTAGAGGCAAGAGTAAGTTTGGCATTTTGTTGTTGTGAAGTATTTGTTTTTACGTTATCGAAGGAATGCTGTAAAGGTTGAGAAAATGATTGTGTATCTTTTGTGGAAGATTCAACTTGGGTGTGATTGGTTGAATTAAGCGTGTAAGAGTATATAGGATCTGTTTGGTTAGAGGTGTCCATAGGTGTGTCCATTTGGACAATGTCTGATGACAAGTGTATGCATGTGTGTTGCATGGTGTCTGACTTGTCGTTTGGAGATTGAGTATTAATTGCATGCATGGTGTGATTATCGGCTATGTTGTAGCTGTCAGCAACTTCTTGATTTGGCAGCAACTTGCCATGCAAGTGTTCAGCGTGCTTATTGGTGGTAGCCACGTTTTGTACGCGTGGCATGTGTACTGTGGCCTTGTTCTTTGTTTGTATCGAAGAGCTTTTGTGTGTGGAAGAGGAAAGGTTTTGTGGTTGCAGAGGGATGTCTGTGGGGATGTCCATTCCTTCATATTCCTCTATTTTCTGAAGAATTTTGAATTTATTATGGAGTAGCTGTGATTGATTAATAATGTTAGAGTCCATTTTTCTTGTTGAGTTCATGGTTGTTTGTTTGTTGGGTGTGTATATTAGGCTGGGATCGGGAAGTTGGGATTGGTCAGCATCTTTAGACCTATAAGAGAGCTTTTGAGTGTGAAGGTACTTACCTGTGGCTGCTTCAAAAATTTTGACATTAATACTTGCGTATCTGCTTTGAGTGCTTTGTTGGTGTGGTAATGGTTGTGCCTTGCTATTCCTCATTGCTCTTGACTGTGGTAAACTTGCCTGTGCTTTACTCCTCTTTTGAAAGGCCACCGTTTGCTAATGGTTTGTGGGGGTGGTGGAGGTCACCACTTTGTGCTCTGCATCAGAAGGTATGGGGTGGATTTGGTGTGAGAGCGGTGCTGGTTTGTGTGTCCTAGTCTCCCACAAGCTTTGCAGAGGATGTGTCCACCTTCATAAATGATTTGCTGCTTGTAGTTGCCTATCAGAATGCAAGATTGAACTGGCTCTTCGAGTTGCATCTCAATGCAAAGGCGTGCGTATCGTCCTCGCAGTGCTGCACTTGTGCAGGCATCAATCTTCAAAAGTTATCCTATGGTGTTGCCTACTTTTCTTAGTATAATGGCATCATAGAACTCAATGGGCATCTGGGGAAGTCGTATCCAAATGGCTGACCTTTCCTGGGTGGCATTACCTGCCATGAAGTTTTGTTCCCATTTCTTTATGGATAGGAAAAAGCCATTGATAAACCAGGGGCCATTTTGCAGCGCACTGATCATATTTTTCTCCTTGCTAAATTTGACAATAAAATAATCGGAGCCAAGATCTATGAGCAGGAAGTTCTCCGTTGGTTTCCACATTTCTTGTATATTTCTTTTTTAGATATTGGTGTTGTATATGTTTACCTAGAAGTTTAATGATCAAAAAGTGTTTCCATGGTAGATACATTCTGTTTTTATCATCCTCCAAAAGTTTTATTGTTCTTATGCCTTCATGTAATTCATTTGAGGTTAAAACCATGGGATCCTCTGTTTTGTTGTGTTCTTCCTTTGCATGGTCGTTTTCCACCATATCAATATGCATCATATATTCTGATGCTAATAGTTTTTCTTTGAAGGATGATTGGTGGCATGTAGTTGTAGTGTTAGTGTTTATTGTACTGATATCTGGTTGTTTGGGTGGGATGTGCTGGACTTCCTTATCAGCTTCTTCTTTCTCCATCAATGGCTCACCCTCCTATCCCGTGTGCTCCAACAAGTAAGTATTACAACTCCGTGGAAAAGAGTTGGAAAATAGTAAAGTTGAACTATTCAAGAGTTCTTAGAGCTCCCCAAAGTTTTTTGTTTGTTTGTTGTACAACATATGCCTACATAAAACATTTACATTAGATTCTTGAGACAAATGTAATATAATCTTATGGATTTATTGTGAGTTGTAAAACTGCAATATTAAGACAGCTTAAAGGGGAAATAATATATATATTTGAAATTATGAGAGATTGTAATATTGAAATTAATATGGATTATTAAGTATATATATTTTTTGACAAATATTGATACATTAAAAAAGAAATATACGAATGATGCAAAAATAAAAAGAAGTATTAACCTAGATATCGTCCACCTAACCATTTACTTCTTGAAAGTCGTTTTAATCTTAAAGGTTGTATTTAACTAAGCTTTTACATTTCAGACTTAAATTTGAGACCTTTGATTAAAAAAGGAATGAATCTTATTATGACACCAATCTTTATGTATTCTTCAGTGTCTTGTTGAATAGCCTTAATAAATATTGCTAACTTTAGTAGGTAAAATTTCGAGTACTTCTTTAATTTGCACATGTGTCTCAATAATCTTGGAAATATTTTTTAAATATTGGACGGACCATAGGCCTCCTTCATGTAAAACACAGCAGAAAGAAACCAATTTCACAGTAGTAACCAAAATCGTATATAAGTGTTCAACTCAATAATTGATATTTTGGACTCCAGTGGTTCTGTCACAGTTGCTGAACAAAATAGTTGTAGGGACAAGTTTGAAGGAAATCCAGGCCTCAGGCCACGGCCAGTAATTAATACTAACATTTATGCAATTTAATATTGCTCGTGCTCTTCACCATCCCAAATGTACTACACATGCAAACTTATTCACATCTAGCCAAGAGATTATATTTAGCAAAAAAAAAAAAAAAAAAAAAAAAAAAAAAAAATTGAAGAAGAAAAATGGCAAAATATCATACCAAGTTCTTTTTTTTTTTGATTACAACCCATTTGGACTGATATTATTTTTTCGTCATTTCATAACGTCATACCATATTATATTATACTGTGTTGTGTTTTATATTTCGATAGAGTTCATGTTTCTTGTTTGGTTTGATTGTATTGTACAACCAGTAAGTTACTAAAATTCCATAAGTTTCTTAGGTAGCCATGAAATAATCCACAATTTCTTGTTCTAGTTCTGAAGCTGAATATTAAGCTTTTTTTTTCCTAGTGCCATAGCTGAGACTATATACTTTTAGCCATTATTCCAGGAACTTGGTCTATGACTTTCTTACCTTAATATCTTTCATTGTGATAAAATTAGCAGAATCTATATGACTATTGATAGGACAAGGCTGCGTACAATAGACCCTTGTGGTCCAGCCCTTCCCCGGACCCCGCGCATAGCGGGAACTTAGTGCACCAGGCTGTCTATATGACTATTGATCATGTGATTCATGTTCAGCGCGCTTTGTCAGGGAAAAACAATAGGTGGTAACCTTATTGTCAAATGATATACATTTCCAAACAATCAGACAGCTGACATCTTCACCAAATATTTATTGATTTCTCAGTTTCAACTATTACATGCTTTATCAGTTCATAAGGAAAATAATGAGCACTAAAAACTTGTATGCTTTATTTTCCATGTTCTACATTATGAAGATCCACTCATGGCTGTTCTTATATGGCAAGTGTTAGCTCAAGATTAAATTCTTTGCCAATAAGAACTGATAAACCTGACATCTCTAAAACACCAGATGTACTTCTGTCAAAGTTTGTTCTAATTCTTGAGTATACATTCCTCTTGCCCACCATTTTAGTTGTCAACTTATTTGCACTTATTCTACTCGCCCTATTCTTCAGTCCAAGAAAAGTCACTTTGTGTATTGTCCAATTCTTATTCATAGCAAACTCTTCATTCACAACCTCTGATTTGAGATATAACTTATTGTTTACAACGCCACTGTGAAATCTCACTAAGCTCCACTTTCCACCCTTTCCTCCCATTTCAACTTCTTCTCCATCGTCCAAGTAAACTTCGCCTGAACTATTTCCCTTGTCGCTGATGGAAACAAGAAGTTCGAATGGAGTTTCCCGAGCTGCCCTTGTTGTCATTGCTTCTCCTTGCATCGCCAGAATATTTCCTTCTCGAAGGTGTACGTTGATATGATCAGAAGGTGCAGCAAGGTTGATGTAGTTACCGGACTTCATGTTCACGTGGTTTGAATAGTTGAAGAGGTCGAACCAGGTTCCAGATGGAAAATATGCATTAACTGAAACCGCTCCAGATGTTAGCACGGGTGATATCATTAACCCCTTACCAATGAGAAACTGAGAGTCGATTTCATAAGTGTTCGTGTCCTCAGGAAATGAAAAGAAAAGTGGCCGTGCTATAGGAACGCCTCTAGAATGCGCCTCAAACATTAGTGTGTACAAGTATGGTAAGAGCCGATAGCGAAGTCCAAGCACATTTTTAGCTGTTGCAGCTACTGAATCCCAGATATATAACTCTTGATGGATAGTAAACTTGTCAGAGTGATCCCTTGAGAAGGGATAAAATGCACCTAGCTACAATTGACGATACGTTGATATTAACAAATGAACATCAGATTCTGTATGAGTATTTTAAGTAAAACCATTACAAGTGATGTATTTATGAAAACCAACAGACTGCATAGGATTCTGCACTAATATGACAACACTGTTAATGGAAACAAGTATACTCCCTGGATTAGAGGTGGATGCAGTGTTGCATCATCGGGTTCATCTGAATCCAATATTTTCGATGCATTGCATAAATTTACGTGTAAAAACTCACTAAAATTGCCAAAAATAGTAGGTTGGAACCCATACGGATTCAATAATAAGAATCTTAAAGGTTGAACCCATAGAGCTTAAATCTTAAATCCGCATCTGCCCTGGATTATACATTGGAGCAGGAGGCGCAAAATAGAAGAATAAGATATCGTATGCAGTGATGGAAAATGAATTGTGCATGACTTTTGAACTGTCAAATAGAAATAATAAACTCCTGATATATGCAAAATACTTCTTTAAAGAAAACAGAACATGTACCTGAATCCAACGGCGGCAAAGTTCCTCAGTTGTATTTTTACCAAAGCCACATATATCAGCTCCAACCATGGGAATTCCAAACAATCCAGAATTTAAAATGCTAGGAATACTATAAGCCAAGTCATTCCAAGTTGCAGCATTATCTCCAGTCCAATGTGCTGTGTACTTTCCAGCACCCACAAAAGTAGATCTGCTAAGTATAAATGGCCTTTTACCAGTAATATCGACTAAAGCAGCATTGGTCGTTTTAGCTTCGAGGAATCCATTGAGGTTATGAACATTGTACTCTAAGGTGTTCCCATAATGTACTGATGTTGCTGGGACAGTCTTCTCGTTGATTGGACGTAGGGTTCCTGAGTTATTGATCTTATAAGGAGGGTTGTCAAGAGTAGAAGACGGGCTTGGAGGAGAAGAAATGAAGTTAGATAACTCGTTCATATCAAGCCAGAGCCCGTCAACGGGGAGACTTTTATGGAAAATTTTGATTTCATTACTCCAGAAGACTCTGGATTTTGGATTTATGAAGTCAGGAAAGTAGACTTTTCCAGGCCAAACTTCGCCAAGATAAGGGACACCATCGCGTTTGATAAAAACATCCGATTCCATACCTCTCTTATAAGTCTCATACGAGCTATTTATGCTGATCCCTGTGAACAGATCAATAAGGAAACAAGAGCACTTTGATTAAGTCATTTTTCCCTACGTCTTTGGAATTTTCTCAACTTCTACACCAATTTAAGTATAAATATCAACAGAAGCAAGGAAATTCAATATGTCAAAACTCACCTGGATCCAATATGAGAACATATTTCTGGCCATCTTGATGAAGTTTATCAACAAATTTCTTCATCCGGTCAAGTGGAAAATTAATCGGATCAACTGTGAAATCCTTATAGCCGTCCATATAATCAATATCTGTCCACATGACCTCAAGAGGGATTTGAGCTTTTGCATAGCGAGCCACTACATTCTCAACTTCAGAAATACTTTTATAGCCATATCGGCATTGGTGAAAGCCTGTGAATAAAGATTGCAATAGTTGCATGAAGAAACAATGTCAAGAATAAACTCAATGAGACAAGGTAATTCACATGTATATTTACTCACCAAAAGACCAGTATGGCATGGGTGCAGGGCGGCCAATGAGCTCCGTGTACTGCTCCATGACCTTCTCCGGTACAGGACCAGCAAAGAAATACAGGTCAATGACCCCTCCAATCACTTTGTAGGTAATTCTGTCACCAGAGTATACAATGTCCATCCCATTGCTATTGAATAACAAGACTCCGTGAGTACTCCCCGCGCCAGGATGAGACCTGATGTCCATGTAAAAAGGATGGGAGCCATACAAGTTGAGATCAACATTTGCACTACCAATATCAGCATCCCAAAGAGTTAATGTCTGATTATTCTTTAGCTTAAACGTTCTCTTGGTATGCTCCCCGAGGCCATAAATAGATGACCTATCGGCTGGTAATGAAGAGGACAGTTGAAGGTACTGGTCCTTGAAGATAAGGAATGTGTCCGGAGAGTCATTTTTAGGTGAGGTGTCAAAAAGAATGTCACCTGTGGAGCGACGTTTGATGGAAAAGCCAAAAGGCGTGGTGTTGTAGAGAGTGAAAATAAGGTCTGAAATGGTGTCTGTATGGATGTAATGTGTTTCTTCTGATAATGGAAGTGAGGAATAAGAATGTTTCTCCAAAAGGGAGCTGCGGGGGAAAGAATGAGTTTCGCGGGGGATAAATTCTTGTGGAACTTCCCATCTTTCATGATCTGCATCGGTAATCCTGACTCTTAAACGATCTTTCGTCTCAAAGCTGAAGAATTGATCAACATGTAAAACAAGATAGAGTCCATTAATAATCTTTTATATTACAGAAAAGACTAACCTCACGACATTACTGAGACTGAATGCCCGATGCAGTTCAGTCTGATTCTGCACATTTAGATATTCAATCATAGATATTGTACCAGTTAGGTGAGAATCCAAATTGTCATACCACCACTAGTATCTAAATCAAAATCAAAAAGATTTTTTGATACTAAAAAGACTCATGATGTAAAAAATCCTAACACAAATAAACCAACAACAAGGAGCAGTTATTTAGAACTGAGAAATGGCAATTTACTCTCTAATAGCTTAATTTTTAGATGAGGTGCTCACACGCTTTAACATGATATCAGGGAAACAGACGTTTTGGGTTCAGATCTCACAGCTACCCAAAATGCAAAAAAGTATTTCCACGTAGTGGATCCTTGAAAAAAGAATCAAGCCAACATGTAAAGGATGTACAACAACAACAACAACAACAACAATCCGAGCGTAATGGGTCTGGGGAAGGTAGTGTATATGCAAAACTTAACCTTACCTTTGTGAAGATAGAGATGCTGATTTAAATAGATATGGTGTTTTAGATAGACCCTCGGCTAAAGGCACGTAAGGGGCGTATTGAAGCATAATATAATTAACAATTACACACAATTCAACATGTTAAACCATTGACTTTACTTTGAACCCCAAAAGAGTCCACCTAATCAAGAACTAACTCAGTTGACTCCACCACTCAAAACATCAACTTCCCAATTTCAATACCAAAAAAACTTAAGACTAAAAATGATGAAATTTCATTAACAAAGATGTAATTATAAGCAAAGAGTTCCAAAATTACCAGACAGTAAGTGTGAGATTCTGAATGTCAGGTCCAAAAACAGAAGAATTTTTGATGAGTTGAAGATGAGCAGTCAATGTCTTTCCAAAGGAGTCAACGCCTAATGATCGGACAGTATATCCATATCCAACTTGTTCAGCTTTTGTTAATACCAACAAAGTGAAGAAAAACAACAAACAATTATACAGAACAAATTGTGTCTGAGGTTGTTTTGTTTTATCACTGTGTCTATTCATTGTGTGTAGTAGAAAAGATTAAGTGATGAGAAGAATATAATATCCAGTTTTGCTGTGATATTTATATATGGGAAATGGAAAAAAAAAATGATTGGGTCTTAGAATTTGGAAGATATGCCAAGTCATTGACTGACCTCCAATCATCATAATCTCTACTTGATTACGTAATATATATATATATTGGTAATTGATTACGTAATATATACCTTTTACCATTGGTATTTATGCCCACTTAAATATTATGACATGTTTAAATCAACAAAATTTAAGGGTATTTTTGGCATAAGTCAAAAGTGTTTTTCTTTTTAAAATTTATACTCAATTAAATATCGTCATATAAAAATAAAACAAAGTGTATATATATAAAGAGCGTGTTTATTTATTTATACACCAAGAGCGAAAAATGTTGATATATTTACATAACCAAGTCACTAGTAAGAAAATTATAATTAAACTTTTATAATAAATATTAATTGGTAACCTGTTATAATCTTAGTAACTAAATCTCTTGTTTTTCCAATAAGATAGTAACTAATGTACTCTCTCTTTTTTACCAAATTTAAAAGTTTTTCCTTTGGTAATTAAATTTTTATATATATCAGGGAAAAAGTATTTACAAGCCATTACAAAAGGACCCGTAAAGCTTGGTCAGACCCATAGCTTTACTTCATTCATCCTCTACTACTCCTAGTCATTCTCTCCTATAGTTAGGCTAGACAGGCTAAATGACCAACTACTAAGCGAAGGCGGACCCAGAATTTTTACGCGAGGGGCACATTATTATGCTCAACCAATATTTTCTAAAGGCTTTTAGTGTTTAGGGTGCCAACTGTTTTAAATTAACCATTTTCAAGGTACATATGTATGTATGTGTATATATATACAAGATTTCATCCAAAGTTTACGGGATCCGGTAACTCCTCAACTGTATACATGGGTCCACATCTGCTACTAAGGATAGTAATTCAGTTTATTCAAAACTTCTGTTATCCTTCTATTGACGCGACAATGCATTTCTCGTACAATTAGCTTGCTTAACATCTTACAATTCCTCGACTTGTCTTGAAAGAGTCTTGCATTCCTTTCTTGCACCAAATTTAAAAGTTTTCTATTTAAAGTCTTAAATTAGTTCATATTTGATAATACTAGTTTGTTATCACGTGTATTGCACGTTATTATTTTTTTTTTTAAATCATTAGAACATGTGTTTTAGGTTTAAAATAAAATTTAAAGGAAAAAAGTGTGAGTTAAAGTGATTAAAGGTGATCCTATTTCTGGAAGATACAATAAATAGTAAATTCACAGGTACACAAAAATATAAATAAAAAAATATGGGATAATGCATAAAATCCTCCCCGACCTATGACCATATTACTAACTACACACCTTTTCTTTCGGGGGTCCTATTACCGGAAAAAGATCCAGTCCAGTATTATTAGCTCAAGTAATATTCAATAGCCATGTAGATTCATGCCATGTGGACCATAAAATGATTAATGGTTGAGATCCATTTATGTCACGACCCAAATCCACCCGGTCGTGATGGCGCCTCTCGTGAAGACAAGGCCAGCCGACACTTCCTTTTTTTTCAATTTTTAACGGTTAAGCATTTTTAAAAAACAATCGAAACATGATAAAATAATTCAAAGTAGCAGATAATGTCATAAATACGCGGAAGAACAACCCAAAATAGTATTTCTCAGCCCAAAACATCATTTAAAAATATCATTTAAGTATTAAAATTGAGTAAACATGGCTGAGTACGAAAACAATGAAAAATAACGTGACTGAGTTCAAGTATATAGTCAAAACAATGAGGAAATATCAATTAAAAAAATTCCCGAAGGATTCAAATAGTTGGCACGAAGCCCAAATATGGCATTCAGCCCAATCATAATGATAGCTAATAGATTTCAGTCAAATACGCGGTAAAATAGTCATTCGGGACGGACTAATTCACAATCCCCAATAGTGCACGACCCCACACTCATCATCCAGCGTGTGCCTCACCTCAATATAACACTACGATGTGCAATCCGGGGTTTCAAACCCTCAGAACATCATTTGCAATCATTACTCACCTCGAACAGGTCAAATCTCTAGCTCGCGACGCCTTTCCCCCTCGAATCGGCTTCCACTCGCGTCGAATCTATCCAAAATCAGAACGAGGACGTCAAAATATGCTAAGGGAACGGAGCCCAAGCGAAAATAATCGAAATACAACACAAATCCCGAAATTACCAAAACTCGACCCCCGGGCTCACGTCTCAGAATTCGATAATTTTTACATCAATAGGTTCCTTATCTCCCCACGAGTTCGTACATATCAAAAGTTCTGAAATCCAACCTCAAATGGTCCTTCAAATCCTCAATTAAATGCCTAAATTCTCAAGCCCTAGTTTCCCCAATTTTAACCTTTAATTTCCATAATTTCTAGCTCTAATCCATGAAATAATAGCGTATGAACGCGTTTAAGGTCCAAATTCCTTACCTCAATGAAGTTCCCTTGAAATCCCTCTTTCAAATCGTCCAAAACGCTCCCAAGCCGAGATAAAAATGGTGAAATAGCTCAAGATTCCCGAAGGCTACAATTTATACCTTCTGCTCGGTCATTTTCGCATCTGCGGCACAATACTCGCTTCTGTGGTACCGCATTTGCGGTTATTTCTCCGCTTCTACGGAAATCACTTAACTCACTATTTTTCCGCTTCTGCGATCCCTCATCCGTATCTGCGACATTGCAGATGCGATCCATCTCACCGCTTCTGCGGTTCACGACTCCCTCAGCACTTTCCGCTTCTGCGATACTTTTCCCGCATCTGCGACTCCGCAGGTGCGGTCCCCAGCCGCATCTGCCGTTCCTAACAACTCGTCAAAATCTGCTTCTGCGACTCATCTCCCGCATATGCGGCGTCGCACCTGCGGTCCCCAATCCGCAGGTGTGGAAATACAAGAAGCAACAATTTCAGCAGCTGCAACAAAGTCCAAACTTCTCCGTTAACCATCCGAAATCATCCCGAGGTCCCCAGGACCTCAACCAAAAACACAAACATATCTTAATACCTTATTCTAACTTGTTCCAATCATAAAAACACCTCAAACAACATCAAATCAATCAAAACACATCATATTCAAGCCAAATTTTCTAAAATCTTCCAAATTACGTTTTTGATCAAAAACCCAACCAAACCACGTCCGAATGACCTGAAATTTTGCACACACATCCCAAATGACACAACGGAAATACTGCGAATCTCAGAATTTCATTCCGACCCCTATATCAAAATCTCGTCTACCAACCAGAAATCGCCAAAATACCAACTTCGCCAATTCACGCCTAAATCTACTCCGAACCTCCAAAACGCATTCCGATCACGCTCCTGAGTCACAATTCAGCTCCTAAGTCACAAATCACCTCCCGTAGCTAACCGAACCCTCGGAACTCACTTCCGAGCCCTCTAAAATATAAGTCAACATCCTATTGACTTTTCCAACTTAAGCTTTATTAAAATAGACTAAGTGTCTCAAACCTTACCAAAATCATTCCGGATTCGATCCAACCAACCTGATACCACATAACACGGATGAACAAAGTATAAAGAAGTAGAAATGGGGAAAACGGGGCGGTAACTCATGAGACGACTAGCCGGGTCGTCACATCTTCCCCAACTTAAACAAAAGTTCGTCCTCGAACGAGTCAAGAAACGTACCTGAAGCCTCAAATCTGCTCCGCATATCCCGCTCGGTCTTCCAGGTAGCCTCCTCCACGGGCCGACCTCTCCACTGCACTTTCACTGAAGCTATATTCTTTGACCTCAACTTTCGAACCTGACGACCCAAAATAACTACTGGCTCGATATCATAGGTCAAATCATCATCTAACTGAACCGTGATGAAATCCAGAACATGAGACGGATCCCCAATATACTTCCGGAGCATAAATACATGAAATACCAGATGCACACTCGACAATCTGGGTGGCAAAGCAAGCTCATAATCCACCTCCCCAATCCTCCGAATCACCTTAAAAGGTCCAATGAACCGCAGACTCAATTTCCCTTTCTTCCCGAATCTCACAACACCCTTCATGGGCGAAACCTTCAACAGAACCTTCTTGCCAACCATGTAGGACACATCTCGAACCTTCCTGTCAGCATAGCTCTTTTACCCCGATTGCGTTGTACGAAGCCTCTCCTGAATCACCTTCACCTTCTCCAAAGCATTCTGCACCAAATCTGTCCCCAATAGCCTAGCCTCACCGGGCTCGAACCAACCAACTGGAGATCTACACCGCCTCCCATACAAAGCCTCATATGGAGCCATCTGAATACTTGATTGGTAGCTATTATTATAAGCAAACTCTACGAGTGGTAGAAACTGATCCCATGACCCTCCAAAATCAATAACATAAGCACGCAACATGTCCTCCAAT